TGTTAATTATAGGGCGACAATTATAAATAAGGATGACACAGGATTTACTTAAGTAAGTATATTGTAAGTGACGGCTTGCTTACATGTCATGACAATTGTATGTGTAGGTCATTAGTCAACTAGCGCTAACTAATGTATCGTCAATTGTGGCTACAGCCACGTCTAATACTAATTCCGTAACATCTCCCTTTGGAAGTTACAAGTCTAATTTATTAGGTACCTTAATTTGTCTACCTGAGCGAGTAGTTACATTAAGGTTCGGAGTCGAACCATTGTCATTAGCAGGTTCATTATTAACATTATCAAAATTACTATAAATACAGTAATTATTACAATCATTGCAATTATTATCTATATTATAATCGGTATTAAGATCTAAATGTGTGTTATTCGATTTACCATATTCTGGATTACAATTGGATTTGTAAAATTTCTTTATGTGAACCCTATTTCGTCTATAATGCATCCCATCCCTAGATTGAATGATGTAGCTTTTTGGCTCAGGACCAACCTGCGTTATTTTTCCTTGTATCCATTTCTTATCTGATGGAATCTTCTTAAACAATACATCGTCTTCAGTCATTAATTCTGGTAGTTTGGTTGCTCCTCGATTGTAAACGTCTTTCATCCTCTTGTTTCTATCTTCGACCCAATTTTCATAACGATTTACATCTATTGGTTTCGGTAGAAGCAAATCTGCATGAACTGGCAGGGAACATCTAAGACGGCGAGACATCAGGAGTTGAGCAGGAGTTGAGCAGGACTGTTCTTGCTGTCGTTTGGTGTATTCCTATACTGTAATAATGTTAGATAGGGATCTCCATTAGACTCGATAGTTTTCATTAGCATTCTCTTGATAGTTCCGATTGCTCGTTCGACTTGACCGTTGGACTGTGAGTGATACGGGCTTGTCGTGATGTGTTGAATGTCCCACTCTTTGATAAAATTGGCAAATTCTACTGCGTTAAAAGGAGGTCCATTGTCTGAAATTAGTGTGACAGGTATTCCTTGTCGACTAAATATGGATTTCAGCTCATTGATGACTATTTTTGCGTTTGTGCCATTCCTAAGTACTGATAATTCAATAAATTTAGAGAAATAATCTATACAAATAAGATATTTATTTCCCTTTAATTCCATGAAGTCAACACCTACTTTGTTCCATGGTATTGCTTTAATTTCGTGTGGCAATAAAGGTTCCTTTGAGTTGTTATTACTGTATTCCTGACACGCTACACATGTCGTTACAATATTTCGCACGTCATTTGACATATTAGGCCAGAATAATGCATTCTTAGCATAATCAAGGCATTTACGTACACCAAAATGACCCGTATGAATTTTAGTTAGCATTTTTGACCTAAGAGCTTTTGGAACCACTAAGTTATTTCCTTTGAACACTAGCCCATCAAGTACATTAATTTCCTTTTGAAATTTGTAATATGGTTTAGTCTCTGGGGGAAGATTACTCTTGGCTAGGGGCCAACCTGTTTGACAAAGTTTTACGATGGTTTGCAATTCCTTATCATTTTGAGTTTCCTTTCGAAAGGACTCTAATGTTTCAGGTGACACTTCTAAACATGACTTGAGCATATTTATGTGTAACGTGATATCTTCTTGTAAATCTACAATGGAGTCTGACAAAGGCGATCTGGATAATGTGTCCGAAATATACATTTCTTTACCAGGTTTGTACATGACATTGAGATCATAGCACTGAATTTTGAGCATAAACCTTTGTAGTCTTTGTGGCACTTTGTGTAATGCTTTTATGAATAAAGGCACTAATGGTTTATGATCCGTA